TGTTCTTTTATAGGATTTGATTAATACCATATAAGTGTGTAAGAAAATAAGAAAATAAAAAAAATGAAAATGAGAGGGAGAGAAACTGAGGGAGAACGATAGAAATTAAGGGAGAAGGAAAGATCGACAGAGAAAGAAAATGAGAATGATTGAGGGAGAACAATAGGTAGAGAGAGAGAATGAGAGAAATTGATATAGAGAATGTAAATACAGAAAACCAAAAACCATTTTTATTTATTTTCAAATCACATAGTCATTGAGCAAATAAAGATGACTGTGAGTGAAAGAGAAAGAGAGAGAGAGAGAGACTACAAACCCTTTTCTTATTTTCCAATCTCCCAACAGTAAAGGGCAATTTTACTATAAGCCTTTTATCGTGTCCAATATGGATTAAGAGTCCCATGTTGGCAATAGCTACATAACCCTCCAATGACATGGTGAGGGTTTTTATAACTTGAAATGTAGAGTTGTTTGTTAGAGTTTTGTTGGTTTATGGACCAACTTGTAACCAAATTTTAAATGTACAGCCGGCTCTGACTACAATTTTTCCTAATTTAAAACTAATCCAAAAGCAATGCTATTTATTATCTAGATGGTGGGTCAATGATAAAACTTTTCAAAAAAAATGCATGATGTCATAATTGAATAATAAATATTTAAGTTTATTTTTAATCCTATTGTTACTTTTTTTTAATTTTCAATTTGTATCTTAACTATGATATGTCTAAAATTAAAGTAATTAATATGAAGAAAATTTCTCACGTGCAACGCATGTGCTTAATTACTAGTTATATAAAAAATACATATAACTATGGCCCCATTTGGTTTGCAGGGATAGGGGTCTAGAATCGGAATTGGAATGGGCTATTCTGATTGACTACCTCCTCTCAAATCTCATTGGCTACCTTACCACTCCTCACTCGTACTCAGGGGTGAGCATAATTCGATTAAAACCGAATAATTGAATTGAAAATTTTCAGTTTCATTTTCTCAGTTTGGTTTTTTTGGGTTTGGGTTTGGGTTTATCATTTCGATTAATTCGATTTTCGGTATCGGTTTTTAGAATTGGAAATACGACTAACCAAATAAACCAAACCTTGATATATGTATATATATATAAGAAATGGGTGCTCTCTACATCAAGGAAATGGAATCTACTCGTGCGAGCACCAATTTCCTATAAATAATAATAATTATAATTACTGTATATATTAACAGGAAAGGAGTGCTCTCTACATCCATGAAATGGAATCTACTTGTGCGAGTAGATCCCATGTGTGAGCACCCATTTCCTATAAATAATAATTATAATTAYTGATTATTATAGTAATTAGTTACTGTAATAATAATAATGATTGATTATTACATTGATTTAATAAATATATAATTAGTGATTATAATTAATAATTACTTTTTATATTGTTAATAACTAGATATTTACTTCAATTTTACTTTAAATTAAAATTGTAAATATTATTATTAAAAATACTGTTAATAAATTTAGTAACCCGGTTTTAATAATTACTGATTATTATAGTAATTTAGTAAATATATAATTAGTGATTATAATTAATAATTAATGTTATTATAAATATTGTTAATAAAAAGATATTTACTTTAATTTTAGTTTAAATTAAAATTATAAATACTGTTATTAATAAATACTATTAATAAATTTAGTAATTATTGTTATATTAAAAATAATTAAAAATGTTATTAAAAGTATTGTTATTGATTATTTAATAAAATATTCCAATTACTGATTATTACTGATAAATACTATTAATTTAATTTAATTTTTGTAATTATTAATTTAATGAATATTATTAATAAATCATATTTATAAATTTAATAATTACTGTTATATTAAAAATAACTAAATAATTTTATTAAAACTATCATTAATGATTATTTAATTAAATAGTATAATTACTTACTATTATTGATAAATGTTGTTAATAACATTCTGACAACCGACGATTCAACCGTCTGGTTTGAACAGATGGCCCGTTCTGACAACAAAAATTACAAACAAAAAATTACGAAGCCATTATGGCCACCGGTTTTTGGGTCGACGGTTCGATCATCTGGTTCGAACGGATAATCCATTTTGACAACAAAAATTATAGGCAAAAAATTGAGTTTGTGAGGTCTATTAAGTAGTATCATACGTGTTATGTCATTCGAGCGTGTGATTCATACGACCCGAAAATGGAACCATTCTGGCCACCGATTTTTGGATCGACAGTTTGACAGTTTGGTTAGAATGGGTGGCCCATTTTGACAACAAAAAGTTATAAGTAAAAAATTATGGAACCGTTGTGGCCATCGGTTTTCAGGTCGACGGTTCGAACATACGACCCATTCTGACAATAAAAATTACAGGCAAAATATTGAGTGTGTAAGGTCAATTGAGCAGTATCATACATGTTATGTCATTCGAGTGTGTGCCTCATATGACCCGAAAATGGAACCGTTCTGACCACCGGTTTTTGGGTCGATGATTCAACCATCCAGTTTGAATAGACGACTCATTCTGACAACAAAAAATAAAAAATATATATATAAAAAATAGCCAAAAACCATTGAATGGGTCAACGGGTTGACGATTCGACCACTCAAGTCCATGGGTCATTGACCAATTCAATTGTTTTTGGCCAGGGACCGGGGTTGAGGTAAAATGGAACTAGTTGCCTGGATGGTTCCTAATTAAAAAAAAGGACGACCCATTCCAACAACAAAAATTACAGGCAAAAAATTGAGTGTGTGAGGTCCATTAAGCAGTACCATACGTGTTATGTCATTCGAGCGTGTGACTCATACAACCTGAAAACAGAACTGTTCTGGCCACCAATTTTTAGGTCGACGGTTTGACTGTTCAGTTCGAACGGATGCCCTGTTCTAACAATAAAAATAAAAAAAAAAACCAAAAACCATTGAACGGGTTAACAGTTTGACCACTTGGGTCAATGGGTTGTTGACCGATTCAATGATTTTTGGCTAGGGACCGAGATTAGGATAAAACGAAACCGATTGCCTAGATGGTTCTCAATTAAAAATATAAAAAAACAGTTAAAAACCATTGAACGAGTCAACAGGTCAATGGTTCAACTACTCAGGTCAATGGGTCATTGACCGATTAAATGGTTTCTGGCCAAGGACCAGGTCAACGAGTCAACGGGTCAATGGGTCGATAATTACATTCCAACCCATGCGAAGGAGGGCCCCTCCACTAGTATTATATTATTTAGATTGTGTTTGTTTACGGTGTAAATGTTGGGCTGATGTAATATTACACTCCAATTCAGTTTTGCAGATGTTTGGTTGGAGTGTAAAAGAATAACGAGTATTGATGTAAAATTCAATTTTGAGAGGTTTTTACATTGATAATCAATGTGAAAAATACATTGAAAAAAAATCGATGTAAAACCCCATTGCTTCTCCCATTGAAGTAAACTCCCACTCGTAATAACGTCTCTCTTCTCTGTCTCCTTCCTGCTCTGTTTCATCCTTGCTTTGCCGACGTCGTTACTTCTTCGTCATGCACCGAAGCTCACTGTTGAAGCAGCTTCGTCGATGTCATTGCTTCTCCGTCGTGCACCAAAGCTCGTTGGTGTCATTGATTCTTCGTTGTTGCTTCGCCATTTCATCCATGTTTCTTCGTTCCGATTGAGTCTTTAGGAATTACCCAAGCACGGGTTCCTCAATACTTCTCCCATTGAAGCTGGCCACTAATAAGAGTCCACCATATGCCAACAATGGCATATTTATACCTACCTCTAAAACTTGTAGCCACTTGATTATTACTACACAGGACCCAAAATGGGAGATGGAGGAAATGCCATTGAATAAGGTAATGGGATTCATGATCAAAGTTTTTGCCATTCAACAACCCATTTTCTTTCTGATGGTTGGGTTCCGGTGTGTGTCTCCAACCCGAAACATAAATTACAAATTATTAACACTCTGTCAGAGGATCAAAGTTTCCGCCATTGTTTATTTTTTGTCTCCAACTGTTGAATATGCTATGAAGCAATTCGGTGCAAGGTATTGTATATTCCCTCAACTTAAACTGCAACTATGGTCTTAAAAAACGTAACAGTGCCACTATCGTCACTTTGATGGTTTTTGAACCTTTGATCAGTCCATAATCGTTCGATGAAATGCCTCACAACACAAGCATAAACTATTGAGTTATTACCATCTCGATGCGGTTCTATCATATGAGCCTTCGTTGAAAAGGGTTCCCCACAAAAGGCCCTTATAGACTACAAAACTGTTCTCTGTACGGTCACCCAATTTGATGAACAAACACTTGTCTATATTCTTGAATCCTACCAGATATCATTGAATTTTGAAAGTGAAAGCTGTATCCACACTAGCATTATTAAATATGGGTTCCAATCATATCCATTCACTATATCATCTCTGATAGCAAACTATGGTGCCTATAGTCACATTGACGATGGTAGTTGGCTTCTCGGTGAAATTCCTAATGGGGTTCGATATGGTATCTGCAAATTTAATTATTGCAGGTTGTATGAAAACATGAGAGTTTGATAATGTAGAGTGTTTTCCCATTGTATCCTCTTTATAGATCCAACAACCACAATCATCGTTATTTAAACAAGGGTATATATTTACATCGATGGGTATTCTCCAAATGTTTGCAAAGGTCCTAACATATATTTTACATCGACCAGCCAATGCATCAATGTAAAACTCTTCGTTGTAAATTTAGATTTACAATGCAACCAAACACAACCTTGTGTATTAATATATGATATATCCAAATTTGCTTTCATAACATATTATAATATATAGTATATTATTATTATAGATTATAACATATAATATATTATATACATTATTAAAATTCGATTTTAACCGAAAACCGAACTGAAAATTTCGGTTTTGACCTATTTGAAGCCTTCATTTGGGCAGTTGCCAGTAGGTGGGTTCGGACGTGATATCCGGATCGTAGTTGCGAATAAGGGATTGGTTGGGTCGGGTGAGGTCGGATGGGATCTATGGGATGTATTGATGTACATGTGGATAAGGCGAACTTCGTGATTGAATGTTGAACTGCTTGAAGTTCAACAAGAGCTCGCTCGATCACTTCCGCCATGATTTCAACAGGAGCTCGCTCGATCACTTCCGCAATCTCCGGTCTTCCTCCGATAACGGCCAACGCCACCTCGACAGCGCTCCCGCTAAACAAACCGGAACAGCCACAACTCCAGCACTCTCTGACTGGAACTAAAACTACTCGACGAAATGCTGCTTTAATCTCACTCATCGCTCCTCTCGTTCCCTCCCTCTGTCAACCCGCTCCCGCTACAGCTTTCTCCATCGGCATCTGTACGGTCTCCTCTCCTACCTCCATGTCAACTTCTTTTAACTTTTGATGGAAGCCTAATTGGTTTATTGCTTACGCAGCAGGACCAAAGGACTGGTTGAGGGAGCAGAAGAAGAAGGCTTCTAAGTTCATCTTGGCTCCAATTGATGCATCCCGAGAGAGTCTCCGCACTGCGTATCGTCTACTAAGTATTTCTTTTCCTACCTCAACCCTCTCTCTTTGATGTTCCCTTTTAGAATTAATTTACTCCGATTTCAACAGCGAAAAATGCTTCTGGATATCCGAAGGACTTGGAAGAGATTCAGAATCTGCTTAGGTCAGCCGCGAGGGATTGCGTTCCACAGGAGAGGAATTCATTCGTTTCCTTTCAAGCTAATACAGGAATCGAGGTTCAGTTCCTAAAGGATCATGCTTTGTTTTGGTAATTTAAGTTTTGTATATAACGTAATTTTCTCTGAAAAATATAAAGAAATTAAAAACTTCCCAGGGTATGATTTGAATCTCCATTTGATAAAGCTGAAACAGAAATGAAATCAGATGCCATAACGAGAGTCCGAAGTCCTTCTTTTCTCCTTTTTGGTGATGATCAAACGCTGGGAGGTGACTATTGTTGCCTTTAATTTATCTGTTCACATTATATATAATGTATTATATTTTAATAATGACAACTAAGGTCAAGTTTGTATTACCTACGAAGTGTCAAAAGGTATTTTTTTGCCCAAATAGAGAACCGAAAAAGGAGTTATGCAGTGTTATTTTTATGGCATATAAACTAAACGAAATATTATAGTTTATAATCATACCATTTTTTGGTAGGCAAATGGGGCTACAGGAGGGGTAAACCTTCCCCAAAACTCCCAGGGCTCAGGTGAAGGTGTGATTAGATCCCAAGACTTCGCTAAAACAAGTCAGAGTTGGCACTGTCATCATACCTGAACTCTATGTACTTTATTGTTTATAATTCCGTTAAATTTGCAGAGCACTGGTTTCAAGAAAGAGGCCCTTTATATGGTTTATGTCAGAAGTCACGATAATTAGAAAATTAGATTGCAAGTGGGTTTCCGGCACAGCAGAGTATCTGCAACATATGAATTGTGGAGGCATTGGTTTATAATTTAGCTAACCATAATTCCAAATACGCAGGTTTGCACATTCCGTCTGATTGTGAAGAATGCATCTTCATTACTTGACAATGCTAGTCCTGTAAAACTCAAGGCTGAAGCCATGTTAGGTGATCTTATAAGGTTGCAATTATTACTCTATATTTTCTTTATGTTGTTATATCAACTATCAAGTAGCTCTGACCGTTCAAAAAAAAATCTTTAGCAAATTAGCATAACTAAGGATTTGAGTTAGTTCATGCCTCCATTGTGATGATTCTACCCTTCCATATCCAAGTACACTTTATAAGTTGATTTTTTAGCATTCATCACTAGTCTTGATTTTGTTTGATAGTTAATTCTTGTGAGAATACATCCTGAATATACACTCTTTAATCTTGAAATTAAGCATTCGCTTTATTTTTGTCTATGTCTTGTGCATGAGAAATTGAGAGTTTGCCACCAGTTAATTTTGGTGTCTCTTTGATGTAAGACGATTCACAGGAATACATGGAAATATTTGGAAAACATACTTGAACACTGAATTGTCCAATGGGGGGTATTTCAATATAACCATGTTCAGTTTCTAAGTTGCTTAGGATAGACTGATGACATCAACAACATAAACACAGAAAAGTGCCACAAGTTTTACTCTGCATCCCTAGGTTATTTTTACCTGACTGGTTACAGATTATTGAAGCTATTTCTAATGAAAATAAACAGCAGAACTGCACAAGAACCCGATAGGAATCAGCTAGCTCAATACAAACTTATAAGCGGAACCAACAATAAAGACACTTGAGAATTTTACAAATGTCTGCCCCCAATGGCGGACCCTCAGTACAGGTTACTCCCATTAGCTCCTCATGCCAAGGAATCTGCTGTGGAGTTTGCAGATCTTGCCGCCTGTGTAAATGAGGTGTTCAAGGCTTCAAGCTGGATGCTAAAGATCTAGCCTCTCTTATCTCATGCACCCAAGGGCCTCATTAGAGAACAATTCTGCATGTATGGAATTTTCAGTGCTGATAGATCCTTTATAAATGTTTGAAACCTCTCCATTGTGGTTACCCAAGGCTACAGCCATCAAATTAATCTTTATGCCATTATCTTGAGGAGGTATCAAAATGGCAGGAGATGCCTCTCCTAGCAGACACTGAAACCACATACTGCTATCTCCTTATAATGTCTTCAGAACTGAACTTTCTGAATTTCTCTATTGTTTGGTCCTGTGAATCTGTTATGGGCCCGGGAATAGGATCTCGTCATGGGTCGGTCCACGGGGAAAACCTCCTGTTTTCCCTTGTTCCTCCATTTTCTTGAGGAACCTATTTTGGTGCCTTAATGGTGATTTGTTCAAGAGATCACCAACTCTCCTCACTCTTTTCTTGACTGAAATTTTCGATGCCTTCATTCAATAATAGTGGCTCCTTAAATAAGAGATTACAAGAGTCCTGCTCTTAGGGAGACTCCTTGCTGAATAGGGAGACCTCCAGCTCTATCTTGATAAGATAAGACTGATAAGATAAGATAAGTCTCTCTTAATCCTAATCTAATAAGATAAGATAAGATAAGTCTCTCTTAATCCTAATCTAATAAGATAAGATAATCTAATCTACTAATTTAATAAGATAAGATAAGAATAACAAGATAGTCTAATCTAATCTGCCGAATGGATAAGGCTGTTGCTGCCGAATTGGATAGGATGAGAACACCAGATCATTGTTGCTGCTGCTCCCGATACGCGTCCACATCAGAATCACTCTTAGTCTTAGTCTTAGCATACTCAGTTCAATCAGTGCACCCTTCATTTGTGATTTATCAAAAGACATCCTTTCCACCCTGCCCCTAAGTTTTTATTAGAATCAGAGCTTGTACTTGTTACCAAATACAAAAAAGAAATTACAGTTTTGTAATAAAAATACCATAGAAGAATTTTGCCCATTGTGGCTTTCTGTTCCAATCTTCTACTTCTCACTCAGGTAGTGGTGCTTATAGCAATCATTCAATTTCCATTCCATCAGGACCATAGGTTGTTTATTGCTGGCTATTGTCAGGGTTTTACTGATTGCATCCTCTTCTCATTTTTATGCAACTGTTCAATGGGAGAATATGACCAGTTGACCACCAACTCTTTTAGCTTCCACTGTTTTCATGTAGCTGAGCTCAGAGGTATCCTCTTTTCAACTATTGTTAATTCCAACCATCATATTTGATGAAGGATGATTTGACCCAACCTATGAAACGGCGACATGTAGACACTGACTCAGCGTAAGCGACAGCTCAGCATTGTGGCCCAGTACAACCAAGTAACGGGCCCATAAAACAGCTCGCTACATCGTAGCGCGCTAAAGGAGGAGCTCGCCACAACGCGAGCTCCGGATCCCCGAGCTACCCCTAAAGGGATATTCCGAGGCAACTTTAGCTTGCGAACTAAGAAAACCAGCTCGCCCGAGCTCCCAAGCAGACAAGTCATTCCGAGGACCAATTCTACTAAGGGTACTCCTGGAGTATTCCAAGCTCGCTGCAAAGTAGGTCGCGAACGGGCCGCACGAGCATTCCTCAGGAAGCTTC